TAGATAGATAGATAGATAGATAGATAGATAGATAGATAGATAGATAGTAGATAGACAGACAGAGTAAATTTAAAATAAATCAGCCCAGAAAGTCAGGTCCTTGTCTGACCATCTTCCATTTATAACAGCCAGTGAATGCTGAAATGCACACTTGCTCCAGGACCCAACTTGGACGCCTGACAACTGTCTACAACTCTAGTTCTGGGCATTCCAATGCCCTCTGCTGGCTGCCAGGGCACCTGCATACATACAGAGCACATACATATGCTAAGAAATGCACACACACACACACTAAAAACAAATAAATCCTATTCTAAGATGTGAGAATTAAACACTATTCAAGATGAGGATCTGAGTCAAAAGCGTTCCTTAGTGGATAAAAGCTGATGAGCACTTAGAACAACACAGATAAACTTGTCCTCAGGAGCCATGTCAGCAGCAATGATGAGGAGCCCACTACCTCAGGACTGCAGAGCATGGGCCATGTCGGTGGCAAGCACTTCTCAGGGCCTGAGTGCGGATCCCAGCACCCCTGCTGGACAGCTGGCTGGCTCACAGCGGGGCTGCAGGGGCGGTGTGGGCTTCCCTGCCAGCTGGTTTAGTCAAACCAGTAGCCATAAGCTCAGTTAAGACCTCAGGTCTCGAAATACAGGGGAAGACACACTATCTCAGTCTTCCAGGCTCCACGGCAGTGCGTCCCCACACTCCTACGCAGGAGCCCACGTCACCTGCCCTTCAAGCTACACAGGTGAGTTGTGTGAAGCCCTGGGCTTGATCCTGCAGGTGAATTGGGCGTAGCCGATTTACAAATGCAATCCCAGCACCAGGGAGCTGAAGGCAGGGTTGGGAATTCCACGTCACCCTTAGATTGGATTGGAGACTAGGGTGGGCTACAAGAAACCCTGTCTTAAACAAACCGTCTTTGGTAGCCAACATCTCCTCGTCTTTCCCACCTCTGGCATCTAGCCATGTGAGCCAACAACCTTAAACATCAGCTTACAAAGATGCTGCCCTTCTGGCCGATGACCTGTCTGTGACCTATCACCCGCTTGCAGAGGGATTCACAAAAATGCTTAAGGGGCAGGGATGTGGCAGCTGTGAGGGAATTGCTCTTCTGTCTCGGGCTCCCCTGGGCCCTTAAACACAGTCCAGGACTTTAGAACTAACATGCCTCCATCCCTATTTTACAGGAGAGACAAATGTGTGTTTTCCCCGGCTGGGGACAGTGAGGAAAGCCCGGATCACACACCAGCATCAAAGCTGTGGGATCATGGCTCCTTGTCTCAGGGTGGACGTAGGATCTGCTCCATGGAGGTGAACAGAACAGAGCCGCCATCTTTGTACACCCCCGTCTCTGCACATGCCTGACCCGGAGAGGTAATCAATGTTTTGGTTTTTATGTGTGTGGGTGTTTTGCCATGCCTGGCCTGGAGAGGTAATCAAGGGTTTGGTTTTTATGGGTTTGGGTGTTTTGCTTTGTGTAGGTGCACCACATGCATAAATTAGCCACGGAGGGCAGGAGACGGCATCAGATCCCCAGAACTGGACTTACACGGGATGGTAGGCTGCCGGCTAAGTGCTGGGAACTCAAGCTCATCCTTTGGAAGAGCGTCAAGTGCTCCTGACCGCGGAGTCATGCCCCCAGCCTCTACAAATCTCTTTAATTTAAAATAGAAATGAATAAATGAATCCTCTTCGCTGGACTGCGGCAGACTCAGAGGGAGTATTCATTTTCTCAAACTCGCTTCTTAGAAAGAAGGCATTGGTTCTGGCAATGTCCCCGAGGCTACTTGTCATGTTGCAAGTGTTAATGATCTCAAAATGAAACGCATTTTGTGATGGCTCGCTAGCTAGACGCAGAAATGCATGGGTGTGTGTGTGTGTGTGTGTGTGTGTGTGTGTGGTTTTCACGTTCGCACAGACCTTTCCTACAGTTAGCTCAGCTCTGAGACAACACCGAGTTAAGTGTAAACAGCAGCCTTCATGTGTGCAAAGGCGGTTGTGGAAGCAAAATGAGCATCCAACGGCAACCACCAGTCTGAGGTCCAGAGACAGAACATCTGTCGCCTGGTTCCCAGACAGAGCCGACGACATGAGGACATTTGGGTGAGAAACCGGTTTCCTCTGCGACCATAAACACACTCACAGGAGCCAGAGCTCCAGAGCAGTGGGGGCGGGGTGGGGGGAGCAGATACGGGTGCTGTCCTCAGGGCTGCAAGCCAGTTCTCACTGTGTGTGAGACTCTCCATCCACGTGGGCGAGTGCCCTGCCTCTCCTGTGCTGGGTGCTGCTAGGCATACATGGGTGGACGGGGACGGGAGCGGCCCGAGAGGAAGAACACAGTCAGCGCAGCCCCCTCCCTCTAGCATTGTGTGTTTATGAGAGCTGCTGGGTTGAAAAGCTCCAGATTCCAGCATAGATTCGGTTTTCTTCCATTTCTAAGTACAGACAGCAGGACTAGAAGAAGGGTGTCTGGAGAACCTATGCCTAGGGCCAGAGGACACAGGGCCAACTGTGGGCAGACTGTTCACTCCCCCTCAGATGGAATACAGGGCTCACCTCACTCGGATGGGTGCACGGTGCTGCCCTCAACCTCAGCTGGAGAACCTCTTCTCTTGACAGCAAAGTAAAGGTGAGAGAGAGGCTACCACAAAGCAATGTTCTTTTAAAAAGTGTTCTCCGAAGCCAAAACAGGCAGCTTCTGCCTGGAAGCATTATTTTATTCTCTCTGCGAGCATGTGTGCGTGCATGGTTGTGTGAGTATGTGTGTGTGTGTGTACCTGTATGTGTGTACATGTGTGTGCGTCCATACATGTGTGCGTACATACATGTGTGTGCACATGCCTATGAGTAGATTTGTGCGTGTGTATGTCTGAACATACATGTGACACTGAGTGTCTACCTCTATTGCTCTGCCACCTGTTTTTGAGGCAGGGTCTCTCACTGAACCTGTAGCCCACCATCGGGGTCGCCGACTCAGTGAGCTCCCAGCGTCTGCCTGCGTCCCCTTCCTAGTGCTGGTGTTAGAAACATGAACAGCCAGCCACACCCCTAACTTCATTTCATGATTGTCCGTGTCTGTGATTACTGTGAAATAAATGACCTCAAACCATAAACAGGTCTAAAACTGTGCTCCTAAATTTCCCGTACCTGTCAAAATCCTCACGGTCAGTGCAGGTCTACAGTGTCCCTTGTGTTGAGTCATGTAGCACAACACCATATAAACTATCAACATTTCACACACCGAAGGCAGACACTGAGCATTCAGTATGCTAGAGACAGCCAGGCATGCTTATAATTACGACATTCCACACCCCGAGGCAGGAGGATTCTTTTAAGTTTGGAGCTGGCACGGGCTACAGAGTTGAACCCTGTCTCTAAAAGCCAAAACCTCAAACCAGGTATGCCATAAACCCCCACACTCCAGACATAGAGAATGAAGGATCAAGCGTGCAAAGCACAGTAAGTTCAAGGTTATCTCGGGCTGTACACACGGGACCTTGTCTAAAAGAAATAAAACAGAACGGAATGTCTGCGATTTACATGTAGTGGCCGGCAGGTCGATAAATACGGATTGCCTGGCAATCTCGGGATGCGCTGTGCTGTGTTTAATGGTGGCATTGATTCACTGTGGGTATGCTCAGGCCAGGCCATTCTGGGGAGGTCTGGGGAGAACTTTCAGGGATTGTTCTTTTCTTTCCAGCTTGTGGGTCGAGTATTAAGCTCAGGTCATCAGGCCTGGCAGAAGCATTCTCACCCTCCGAGGCTCCTTGTAGCCCCAAGGTTGAAGGTTTTAATCAAACAGAAATGCAGAGACCCCACAGGGCTTCTGAGACGGTACGGAAATGTGAGAAAGGACACCAACCCTTAAGAGAACTCTAGTGAGAGAGGGACGGGCCGGAGGTGGAGCCCGGACAACAGCGCCGAAGCAACACAAAAGCCAAAGGCGCGGCAGCCAGGCCAAAGGCGCGGCAGCCAGGCCCAGCGGCGCACGCCTGCTACCAGCCACGCAGAGGGCTCAGACAAGATGGTGAGTCAGCGTGGGGCGCACCGTGGGTTAAAGCTAGCCCGGCAACTACGAGAGCCTCAAAACAAAGACACAAACGGGGCACAGGTGCAGTTCAAGAGAAGGCTTGCCTAGCATGCCGGGGGCCGAGTTCAGTTCAAGAGGGGCACACTAATTCCCCTCCCCCAGCCAGCAGACCACAGGAAGTTCTACATGGTATGGAGCGCATGACCAGGGAACTAACAGAGTCCCATCACAAAGATGGAATGCTGTGACACCAGCAAATGACAAAAAGAGGAGAATGCTCCCTTTATAGAAAAAAAAATGTACTTATTTTATGTGTATCAGTATTTTGTCTGTGTGTGTGCGTGTGTGCGTGTGCATTGAGTGTGCAGTACCCAAAGAGTCCAGAAGGGGGCACAGGATCCCCTAAAACTAGAGTTACAGACAGCTGTGAGCCACCGTGTGGGTGCTCTGAATCAAACCCAGGTCCCCTGCGAGAGCAGCTCGCTCTTATGTGCTGAGCCATCTGTCTCAAGCCAAACCACAGAAACAAGAATGCAAGGCCAAGCCTGGTACGAGCTCCCAGCAGCCACCCTTGCTGCACCAGCTGTCGTAGAGTCATTACCTCCGTCTTCATTTATCCAGTAGAGGAAAAGGTTCATCGTGCCCACTTCAGTTATCTGGTTGTCCTTGCCGTACAGCCACAGGACCTGATGGCAGCCGTTCTCCACCGCCTCGCACTGCGCCAGGAGGGACGCCCCGTAGTTGCTGGTGAGGAAAAGAACACTCCGATTATAAACATGCCTGACCCCACACCCGCATTCCACTCTAACAGTCTCAAGTTTTTATTCATTCATGTGATGTGTGTGTGTGTGTGTGTGTGTGTGTGTGTGTGTAAGACCTGAGAGTAGGCAAGGGGGCTCACACTTGGTTAGAAGGCCTACTGACTCTCCATCTTCAGATCCTACAGAGTAACAGGAGAAAACCAACTCCAGTGACTTGGCCCCTCACCTCCATACATACACTGTGGACACACACCAGAAAAAAAACAATTGTCCCAGCCACTGGGACAGAGGGACTATGTCAGACGGGAGTCCTTCTCTGCCAACCTCTCTAATTGCTATAATCCACTTATAATTTTGGACAATTAGCGGTCTCAAAAACCAAACCTGGTAAAGGAAGACCCGGCATTGCCTCAGCTGAGGCCCCGACAAACTGATCGATTTTCTCCAAACTTTCCCCTTAAAATACTGTCCCGGGCCAGAAAATGGCTGAGCAGGTAGGGCACTTTCTGGCAAGCCTGACGACCTGAGTTTGAGCCCCAGGGCCCACATTGTGGAAGGAGGGAGGAGTCCATGAGGTGCCTCTATGGGTCGGGAAAGGCAAAGCCACGAGAGACTTAAGTAAAGTCTGCCGTGCCCAGGCTTCTTTAATGCTTCACTGGCCTACATTTTTCTCCCTCTCTCTAGCTGTTTAGTGGCTGCAAATGGGAGCCCAGAGTGTCCTGGTTTTGTTATTTGCCAGCACGCGATACTAACACATGAAATGGCCAGTGAATGCACCCATGCTTTTAGCATCATCACACAACTGAGCACAGGCATGACCCTTAAAGCCTGAGGCACAATACTCTCCCTGGCAGTGATGTCCACACCCTCATCCCTGGAATGTCAAGGTGCTCTGTTGTCACTGATGTCTCCAGGCAGCACCAAGGTTATGGCCAGAGACACGCCTGCATACAGGGAGATACACGCCGCCCACAGGAAGGCTAAGGGCAAAGAGGCCGTCCAACTTTGAAACCGACCCTGGTGCCACAAAACCTGGTCATTGACAAGGACAGAGAGAGCCTGGAAGGAGGAAGCAGTGGCCAAGTGTACAAAGAATGGTAGGCCAGAGGGATGAAGGCCCTTTACTATTCTGTCCCACGAGGAGGCTTTTGTACTCCACATTGGAAATCTAAACACCTACCTTACTGGCTCCGCACATGCTCACTGCTCATGCCGGGTTACCCTCTCTCCCATCTCCCTGGTCGCACATCACAGTGCTTGAGCCCAAGGGTTAGAGAATAGTGAGAGAGGCCAAGAAACAAGAGAGAGGCACGGAGTGCAAAGGACCCTGGTTCAGGTCTCAACACTCACAGGGCCACTCATAACCTCCTAGAAGTGCCGTTTCGGGGACCCAAGGCCCTCTTCCGGCCGCCGAGGGCTCCAGGGAAGAACATGGCTCACAGACCTGCACGCAGGCAAAGCACTCACACGTGTAAATAAAACTGTGAAGCCAACACGAGCGGCAAGGACACCACAGGTCTCAGAAGCTGACCAAGCTCAGCCTCCCGGCTGGTTTGTGCTACTCCACCCTCCATGCAAAGTATGCCGGATGCACGTGAGATGTGAGGTAAGCGATTAAGGTGTTATTCTACTGTCTCCTCAGACCACGGGCCCTGTGAATAACGCACACATTAAAGCCTGCCTTGCTCACTGGCATTTATGGTGAAAGACAACATCCTTGCAACACAAATAGTGTACAGTGTGTGTGTGTGTGTGTGTGTGTGTGTGTGTGTGTGTGGTGTGTGTGTGTGAGATGCCAGGGAGCTGGCTGGCAGGGCAGCACCTGCCCTCAGCTGCTGAGGCGTCTCTCCAGCCCCCGTTTGCTCTTTTAAGGGGAGACTAGCATTTTGGAGTCTCTCGTTCCTCTGCGGCACATGCTGCTCTGGTGGGTGTAGACGGGACACACTCGAGGATGGAAGGAGCTGACCTGAGGCACCAGTCTCCAGCCGGTCTTCTAGAGTTGTCACACCCAGCCCCTGCAGCCGGGTCTCAGAGGCCTACCACGGAGCTCTGACCCTCCCAGGACATCACTGGTGCTCTCCAGGGGTGTGTCTGCCGGGGTGTGGCACGCAGGCAGGCAGATTCCCGGACAGAGCTCCCTAGAGCCGAGTGAGGGCAACCCACCCGGGCGGCCTTCCACTGGAGAGGAGCCGAGCTCAGACACACCCCATGTCACCCCTATTGATACCGCCTTAGAGGGGCCACAGGTAACAGCCGGCTACATCTCAGCCCACAAACAGCTGCTCACTGCCGTCCACACCACCACTGGAGGCACACAGCTGACACACACACACAGCTAATACACTCACACACCACGAAGAAGGCTGCTCACACCAACTCACCCGCCCATCTTGTAGTCCCCAGTTCCACCTTCCCAGGCTCTGATGTACTTCGGATTGGCCCACAGCGACACTGGAGTGAAGGTTCCGCTGGAAAAATAAGGTCCCACGGGGCTCAGGATCACAAAGAGCAGGGCTTTGGACGGCTTCTTGACTCCGAGAGACGGCTGGAACACAGGGAAAGCCACACCTCTGTGACTGACGAAGAAGCATCCTGCAGGTCTGGATGAGGCCTGCACCACCTCCCACAGGCCACCCAAAGTCCAGGGGCATGAAGCCTTTGATGGGAAGTGCTGAAAGTGGGTGTCTAGGTTTGTGGGTGAGGGTGGGCAGGACGGGATGGGGCACAAGATGGCTCAGTGGATAAGGATGCTTGCTGTCTGAACATTTGACTAACTTAAGCCTCATCCTTGAGCCTCACATGGGGGAAAGAAGTGAGCTCTAAAAGCTGTCCTCTGACCTCCACATACGTGCTATGGTGTTCACGCTCCCCTACACACACAAAATAAGTAAACAATTGTGACTTAATTTTTTTTTTTTTTTTTTACGTTTAATTTTGGTTTTCTGAGTTATGATTTTAGAGGGGGAAGAAAAGGTACATGTGTCAGTTGTAGCTGCTGCTATTGCTGACAGGAAGAATGAGGAGCCTGTCTCTAACCTCCAGGACACAGCCCCCTTCCACTCTCTTTCCAGCCTGCTGGGTGCTTCAGAAATGTGGGGACTGTGAGTGGAGGGTGGGGCAAGGAAGGGGAGGGGGAGGATATGAGGAAGTAGGCTGTGATCATGCCCGCTGGTTTGGCAGGTGATCCTTAGCAGAGGGCAGGGACAGGCAGGACAAGTACCAGAAGGAGCGCAGAGAACGCAGAGGTCACATTACCAACAGGCAGCTGGAGAGCTCTGTCAGCAGTTACTAGCATGGGCTGTTTTTGCAGTGGACGCAGGCCCAGCGCCCTGCACCCAGGTGGAGGCTCACAGCTGTTCCTAACTCTACCTCCAGGGACCCAGTGCCCCCTCCTGGCTTCCAGGACACTGCACACACAGCACACGCGCAGGCGGAACACCCAGCACAGGGAAGTTGTTAGGTCAGGGCAGTGGAAAGTCCCGGAGGCTGTGTGCCCTAGAGGAGAAAGGCCGGTCTCCAGCCAGCTATGAGCAGAGACCTCAGGGACAGACAAACCAAGCAGGATGGAGCCATGCTGGATGCCTGCCACCGTGGCCTGGTCAGCCTGTGTCACAGAGGACGGTGGCTACACAGGGTGTGACGGTGAAGGGGGCCTTGGCTCTAGTGGATGGTAATCCTTATGCTGTTTGCACCAGAAGCTGATCCTGCCTTTTCCTCGAGCCTCCATTACCCCGGCCTCTGACAGGCTGCCTGCACTCTGGGTCCCTCATGGAAAGCCAGGCAGTAAATATCTGCAAGCCCTGGAACACGGCTGTGCGCTGGTGAGGTGGCTTATTGGCCGAGTGAGCCTGGCCACTGGGTGCAATCCCTGGACTACGTGTTAAAGAGCCGGATGTGGCTCAAGCACTCCACAGTGACCCAAGCACTCCACAGTGAGGTGGGAAGGAGAGAGGACAACCAGCCTGGGGGTCAGCTGGCCCAGAGCACACAGCCTGGCAGACAGAGCCTGTCTGGAGAAATAAGAAAATAAGCCGTCCTCTGACCTGTGTGCTGTACCATGGCATGCGTGTGTGTGCCTGTGGGTAACAATGTCACCTGACACGCTCCCACATCCCTCCATCAGGAGGAACAAGCACGGCTCTGAGAGCTTAGAAGAAGCGGATGAAGTGTGTGACTGGACTGAGGTGGAGAAGCCAGTCAGTGAGCAGGAAGAGCCTTTGCCTTTGGGCTGGCTTGTGTTGTGGGGCTTTTGGGTTTGTTTTGTGTTTGTGGTTCCTTTGTGGGTTTCTTTTTTTTTTTAAGATTTATTTATTTATTATGTATAGTGTTCTGCCTGCATGTGTGCCTGCACACCAGAAGAGGGCACCAGATCTCACTGTAGATGGTTGTGAGCAGCCATGTGGATGCTGGGAATTGAACTCAGGACCTTTGGAAGAGCAGCCAGTGTTCTTAAATTCTGAGCTGTCTCTCCAGCCCCTTGTTTTGTTTTATGCTTTGTTTTCTCATTTGTCTGTTTTAAGACAGTCTCTCTCCATAGCCCTGGCTATCCTAGAACTCACCATGTAGACCTCAAAGTCTACCTCACGAGTGCTGCCATTAAACGTGTTCCTTCTTTAACAGGAACTTTATTGAAAGTGAGGCTCCCCTCCTGGTGCAGGGGGAAGATCTTGAGAGCTCCTCCCATCTGAGAGGGACACTGTGTGGGGATACATGCCTGTTCCTTCCCAGCCTGACAGAACCATCTTATCTCTGAAAGTTCATTTGTCCAATGAGTCAAAGAGCTGAGACCAGGCAGGCAGGGAGTCAGATGGGAGGTAACCAGGAAAATCATGTCTCTGGTGGGAAGAGCCACTTAAATGGCCTTGAAGCTGCAGCTGGGATGTTTCTACTGAGCTGGAAGGGAGGGCACAGAGGAGGGCACTATCCTGGTAACCACACACAAGCACTATCAGAGGCTGTGAGAGCTCAAAGGGCCCTGGCATCACTAGAGCATGTTCCTTGCAGTTGTCTCTCTCTTCACTGTGGGCTTTTTAGAAGCTGGTCAGAAGAAGGAGAGCCAACCCGCCATCATATCTGCTTTATAAATAGCCATAGAATCACCCTTTTAAAATCCCAGCACATCTAGTCAGGAGGAGGAATGTGCTAACGAAGACTAGAATTTCACAGTCCACAACCAGGAACTCACCGGCCCCTCCTCCAAGACGGGCCGGCCTGCTCCAGGCTCTCTCTGGCACGTATGCTCTGCTCTGCTAGGTAAACTCTGTCTCTGGATTCTCTCCTTTGAGAAGAACCAGAGTAACTTTGACCAGTAGCTGCGTCTGCTTCCGCAGGGCCTCGATGCTCAGAGTTCTCAGCCTCACCTGGCTTTCTGCCTTTCGTTAGCGATTCTCAGCTTCCTGCTAGCCACCTGCTGCCCTGCTGCCCCGGCCATCACAGACTCTCCCTCTGGAGTCATGAACCCACAACCCTTCCTTTGATAAGTGGCCTTGCTCATGGAGTTTTACCACAGCGGCAGACAAGTGATCAATACAAATGATAAGGAACCCAGAGAGAGAACTCAGCGTAAATTACAGACACGACATGCTGGCTGCTTTCTAAGGGTCACATCTAGCTTTTAAATTTCTGAGCGAACTGTCTTTCACATTTTGACACCTCACTGGATGGGACACACACACCCACACACACACACTATTTTACATAATTATATTATACTAAAAAAGTAAACAGCAAGAATGAAATCATTTTTTTCTGTACTATATGTCACCTCATTTGGACTGAGGAGGCAGATCTGCGGCGGATCCCAAAAAGCCCTGTAGCTTTTCCACCACAGTACAAAAGCAAATTTCACTTTGTCACTGTGCCTCCCTGACCTTGACAAGTTAGTTTGCATCTGTCCCACTAGGTGGCGGCAGAGAACACAGAGAGAAAGGCAGACTTCAGGACCTCTGTCAAATGTACCTCTAGAAAAGGCATCTTGAGCCATTTCATTCACATCCGCATCCTTAGCAACAGCTAAGTTACATGATGGCATTTTTCAGTGCTGGCCAAAGCTGTGTGTAGGAATGTGACTTCGTATTTTCTAAAACTGAAGCCAGGTCCACTCACATCTGCAAGCCTGACGTTCCCCTGTGGACCACGGCTTAGGAACCTCCCAATGCTTACATGCACAGTCTGTCCATGAAAAGAAGTCACTGAGAGGGTGAAGAGGTGACAGGTAAGAGCACTGGCTGCTCTTTGGTTCCCAGCATCCACGCTGTCCCCCAACAATTCCAACCCCAAGGCATTCAGGGCCCTCTCCTGGCCTCAAGTGGGCATTGCACCCACGTGCACAGATAACACACGCAGACAAAACACTCACAGGCATAAAATAATCACAGACATAAAATAAAAATAATTAGAGCATCAAAGAACTCACTGACTTTCCTTGGGGAACAGCCAGGGAGAAACTCTCAAAGCCACAGCAATACTGAGTGTGATCAATGCCACCCTGAGCTCCAAGAAGGAGCTTGGTGACAGGCGCCCCCTACACACACACACACACACACACACACACACGCTCGGGACCCCTGCTTTATCCCCTTGCTCCAATCCTCTCTTCCACCCTGAAAAGCGACTTAGATCCCAAGTTCCCATTCGGGGAGTTTTATTCTGTGATGTCAATCAAATGATAGGCAACAAAATTCTGGGATGATGAAAAGTTACGTTTCTGATGAAGCAAAAGCCACAAAATTAAGCAAGAACTAAGGGTGTCAGGCACCAGTGGGGGCTTCGAGCACTTCCAACAGGTCTGTTTGTCTCCAGAATACATTTCAGGGTGGTTCTGTTTTAGATTTGAAGGACAGGGTCTCCATACGTAGCCCAGGCTAGCCTCAGACTCTGAGCAATCCTCCTGTGTCAGCCTCCCATGTGCTGTGGCTACAGGAACACACCACGCTTGGCTCCTGCCTGGGGCAGGGGCTGGTTCTGAGGAGATGCTGTGAGTTTAACACACACACTAGGTAGGCGCAGCACCACTGCGCTAGAGCCCAGCTTCCCGGGGACAATCGGCTGGACTTTGTATCCCCGTAATTTAAATGAAGAGCGGAAAAGACTAACATTTCAGAGACCGCGCGGAGGCTGAACCACTAATGCTGGGGTGTGTGTGTGTGTGTGTGTGTGTGTGTGTGTGTGTGTGTGCAGGGACAGAGAAATAGAGCTTTTCCTAAGCTTCACAGTCGGGGGATGCAGCCGTACTCCTCACAAACTATGGCGCTTAGGTGAGAAAGAAAGGCTACTTCACAGTGAGAATTACTTCTTTCTGGGTCACCCAGAATTCCCTGCACGGAAAGGCTGATGTCACGGGTTGTTTGAAGGGTGGCAGAAAGGAGTCAGTGAGCTGAGAAATTTCATTAGTGTGGCCTCAGCGGCAGAGAGCAGAGGCGCACACAGGGCTGGAGGACAATCCTGGCCAAAGCAAACAGAAGCAAAGCATAGGTGCCTGGGCCCACAGGGGCCCACGGGGGCCACAAAGCAGCCTTTCTCTTTCACTGGAGAAAAGGCTTCAGAGTGAAAGGAGAAAATGGAGTCATGGCATAAACCTGTCATCTCAGCACTTGGGAGGCTGAGGCAGGAGGATTAAGGGGTCAAGACAATCTTGGCAATGTAATACTTCAAAAAAATGAACTTAGGGCTGGAGAGAGGGTTCCAGGGAGTTAAGAGAGCCTGTGGCTCTTGTGGTTCCTAAGTCAAACACTGGCTCCCAGGGATTCAAAACCTTCTTCTGGACTAAACCATCAACTGAATACATACCAACCTCACAGAAACAGAGAATGAAAAATAAACCCTTTTAAAAATTAAAATAGGAAAGCAAATGACAAGGAATCTGTAAATGAGGGGTGCTGTTATGCTGAGGGCCCAAGGAAGGCATCTATGTGGTGCACATACATACATGCAGACAGCAGACATATGATAACATACATGTAATAACAATAGCCTTCCCTGAATGCACATGCTGCTGCCTGGCCTCCTCCCATGGCTCTCACACTCTGTGTGCTGTGCTCGGCATGGTGTGCCCATTCAGCTCCCCCGCCCTCTCCGCCCTCCACATTCTCCACCACCTTCCACACCCCTACCGAAAACTGAATCGTGCCCTCTGAAATCTATGCTGAAGCCCTGACTTTCTGCATTAAAGGCTTCTCGCTGCTGTGATAAAACAAACAAAGCAGCAAGAGCAACTCCATGACAAAAAGACTGGCTCACATTTGAAGGCACATCCATTCTGGTGGGAAAGGGTGGCACAGGGACTGTGGAGCATCTGGTCATGCTGTGGCACAGTCAGGAAGCAGACAGTTTCCCTTTTATGGGGTCAAGGGCTCAAGCCCATGGGTTGGTGCCAGCCACGTTGAGGACAGGTCTTTTCTGCTCAGCTAAACCTGTCTGTTAATGCCCTCACAGACTCACCTAGGGTCAGTGTCTCCTGGGTGACTGCGAAAGCAGTTGGCAGCCAGTGAAGATGGACCGTCACAGCTCCGATGTGACTGTCCTAAGACACAGGGCCTTAGGCGGCACTTACATCAAGCGAGCTCTCAAAAAGTAAAGCCTCCAGCTGGACTTGGTACTTACAAAGGAAAAAGGCCACTAGAACTCTGTTCCTTATTGGTAGACAAGGGCCAGCGAGGACCGGTTGGAAAGGAAGCCTCACCGTCAGCCAGCCACGATCAGGCTCAGATGCCCAGCTTCCAAAACACCAGCAGAGTAACTGTGGCTTAAGCTACCCAGGCTGCAGGGGCTGGGGGGGGGAGGCTCACCAACTCAACTCTTGGTCCCAGTTGTGGCTACGTCTGGGAAGGCTGTGGAACCACCCAGAAGGGTGCAACCCTTGCTGGAGGAAGTCAGTCACCGGGCTTTGAGGGTTTGTATCCTGACCCCACTTCCTCCGTTCTCAACCCTACCCCCCCACCCCCAGTGTGGATGAAAATGTGACCTGCCAACCTCCTGCTCCCGCCACCTCCCTCTGCCTGTAGCCACACCGGCCCTGCCATGGCGAACTTTCTTCCAGGACCTCACATAAGCTGAAATAAACCGTTTCCCAGGCAGCTTTTAGTCACGGTGCTTAATCACAGCAACAGAAAAGTCATGAAGTCCCGGTGGCATCGTGACAGAGCAGCCCGTCACACTAAACTCATCCCCCCTCCATCGAAGCTCTCCCCCCTTACACACCCCAGCCTGAGTTAGCTGCTCGTGATACCCGCCCCTCAGCATCCTGCTTATCACGTGTAGACCAACATGCGTTGCCCTCTTAGCTCTCCTGATTTCTTTCTGGTTCAATAACCAGTGAACTCTATAAACTGTAGGGCCATCTTGATCATGCATGTTTTGCCTACATGTTTGTAAGTACACTGTGTGTGTGCCTGGTCCCTGCGGAGGCCAGGAGGGCTTTGGATTCCCTGTGACTGGAGCTATGGATGGTTGTGAGCTACCGTATGGGTGCTAGAAACTAAACATGGATTTTTGCAGGAGCAGCAGGTGTTGTTAGCGACTAGCTTATCAAACATTTGCAGAAACGACACATTCTTAGTAAGATGGCCATAGAGGCAGCCACGGAGACGTGCACCGGCAATTTCAAACACTTGAGAGCCTGAGGCAGGAGGATCACCGTGCAGCCAAGGCCAGCCTGAGCTACACTGTGAGTTCAGGCCCACCCAGAATACACAAGACCTTGTTGCATACAAACAACAAAACCACCACATTTGAAGGTCACCCCAGCAGCCTTTCATGGGCTCTGCTATTAGGTAACAACTCTGTCCTCTGGCTTACTTTGCAGGACTCTGAACGTCACCTCTGAGAACAATGACTCCACGCTTAGACTTACAAACGTCCCCACAGATCGAGCAGAAAAGGACAAGGCAGCCTGGGTCTCTGCATGAGCGCTTCAACCCTTGGTAAAGACACCTCCCAGATGCCAGGCCCAGCAGGGCATGGAGAGCAAGAATGCCACTCTGGAATTCAGGAAGATGGTGGCCTTCCTCATTCTTCCCCAGGTCACTATCCTCAACTCCTGCAGTCGGTCTGAGAGCAAAGCTGCTTCCTGGGTTCCTGACTCGGAGTAAAGAAAGTTCTCACCCCCCCCCCCCAGCACAGAAATGAAGCCCACTGCAACAGAAACGATGGGAAATGTGGTCCTAGAGCTAACCCTCCAAAGGTCTGTGTGAGGAGAGGCACACCCCCACCCCCACCCCACCCCCACCCCACCCCCACCCCACCCCCACCCCCGCAGGCTCAGCACTAGCATCAATCTCAATGGGGATAGGGGCAAACATCACCATCCATCCCTTTTTCTTCAGTTAGTCCTGCGGGAATTACCTACAGTTACCAAATTGACAAACTGTTTGTCACTTTGCTGGTGACAAACTGTTACCAGCAAAGCCTAAAATACTAACTAAAATGCTAACTCATTTTTTCACGTGAAAGATGGCCTCAACAATTGGGAGGATGAATGGAAAAATGAAAAATAAATGAATGATACTGGGACAGGTGTGTGTATGTATGTGTGTGTGTGTATGTGTGCTTATGTGTTTCAAAACACACACTAAAAGTTTAAGAAAGAAAAGCAGGCTGGAGACAAAGCCCAGCTAAACATGCAAACCCCCAGCTTCAGCCCCTAGTACCATAAAATGACATTTGAGGTGCACAAGCTGTCTCCGTGAGGATGCCAGCACTCGCTGCCAACCCTAACTCCGCAAGCTCCATCCCACACCCCACAAAGCAGAAGGAAAGAACCAACACCCCACACACCGAGGGCACACACGCCCACTCAGAGTGTAAAAAGCTCAAATAGAGAGTCAGGCCGTACCTCGGTTCCGATGAACGTGGGGCGGATGTAGAGGCTGGCGGAGGTGGAGTAGGGGACCCACTCTTGGTCTATCTGTAGAAGCTGCAGAATGCACGCTAGAAGCTCCTCCTTGTCAAACACCTGAGAAGACAGAATCCCCAGTAAGGCCGACCAAGAACGAAACACAGACTTGGGGATCAGAGAACTGACAGATGCTCAGCTTCCCCTGGTACAGTCCCAGTCGGCTCCTGAGCAACTTTCATTTACTCTCCTACAACATGCAACATCAGGAAAGACATCCATGATGAATGCTGAGAAAATGTCTGTGAATCCCTCTGGCAAAATAAAAATCATATAAGCATGAGTTATTCGTAAGGAAAAGAAGACGTTAGACTCCCTGAGGCTTAAAGATGGCTCAGCTTGTAAAGGGTCGTGCTGCCACCTAAATTCATTCCCTAGAACCCACAGGGCACAGAGGGAGCCAAGCTGTCTTTTGAATACTTGCCTGCCTTCCCCCAAATAAACTGAGAGACAAACAAACAAAATCAGATTTTTGAAAAAGAAATTAGATCACTATTGACCTTACTCCCACATCAGTTATAATTACATTTTACACTCAAATGTAACAAATTATGATTTAAAAAAAATGGACATCTGTGGCCTCTTATTAAAATTCTATATCAATTATAATTGGATTGTATACTCAAATCTAATGAAATATTATGACTTCTATTTTAAAATTGACATCTGTAACCTCATATTCTCAATTGTAAATGGATATTATGATCAAGTGTAATATCAAGTGTAATGATCAAGTGAAATATCATGGCTTCTATTTTAAAAATTAATGGTATTGGCTGGTGGAGGTGGTGCACGCCTTTACTCCCAGCACTTGAGAGGCAGAGTCAGGTGGATCTCTGAGTTCAAGGCCACCCTGGGCTACAGAGTTGTTCTAGGACAGTCAGAGCTACACAGAGAAACTGTCTTGAAAAATTAATATAGGATAGATAGATAGATAGATAGATAGATAGATAGATAGATAGATAGATAGATAAATTATATATACAACTTTAAGGTTCAAAACAACTTCTTACTCAGGAAACATAAAAACACAAACCACTAAGGAAAATAAAGATAAAATTTGTGTTTGAAAGTTGAGGGCTCCTGCCTTTTCAACACAGAAAGCTGCTGCTGAGGCGCCAGTGAGGAATGGTGCCAGTGTGTGCTATGAGCCGAACACTGGGCAGAAAGACAGGGGCAACTGATTCCTCAGGGGACAACTCTATGCCAAAAGGTGACAGACACGCTTTGTAAAATGGTCAAGCAGTTTCCATGGAGCCACAGGCTGGAGAGGGACACCTTCAGGACTCAATGAGCTACACAAGGCGGAGCAGTGCCACATGCTAGCAGGACCACCGTGCAGCTAGTAGGACCACCATGCAGCTAGCAGGACCACCATGCAGCTAGCA